GGAGCCATAGAACACCTGCTTCTGCTCAGGTTTACATCCAATTCAGTTCATCTGGAATAAACTGAATACAGACTATTCCCAATTTCAGAGATTGGAAAGTTCTGAGGATGTTTGATCAATGGTATTCATACAGTGTGAATAAACAGCTCATAAAGTAGCATTTACCATTCATTAATGCAGATTCTAGTCCTAAACCCCTTAACGCGGCCAGACTTAGATATATGACAGCGAGCTTTAACACTGAGCTGTCAAATATATGCATGCAGGCGGCGTTCCTTGTTTGTGTGGAAAGTATGCTCATTCAGATCCTCCAGCACAGTGACTTCTCTTTCACCGATAGCTCCGGGTTATTGTTTACAATCAGGATCCGGGTGGGGCAGCATACCAATCACCTGATAAATGACAACCATTCAGTGATCACATGACCAAAAACCCCATGTACCGCTGTTGGCGTTAGGAACTCTTAAAGGGCCAGCTCTCCAAAGCTAGGGGGTTACTACTGACTGGAACAACATATACATGCAGAGAATGTAATAGTCGTTTTACAGCAGCTAGGATTAGCAGTTTGTAAGGAAGCAAGCGCCCAATTATAGAGTGTTTCAGCAACAAGGCAAGGCGGGGGAATAACTAGATGGAAGTATTTTGGCCAGACTTCAGGAGTGCTACAAATGGTCTAAAGCTATGACACTTAATATTTTCAGAATTACTCATGAATTTTAAAAGCTGCTCAGTTTCTTTTCTTTACCTACTGGAGTCCCTTTTCTGCATCAATATTTTTATAAAAAGGTGAACCTAGACTTTATGTTCGCAGCTCCTCTAACCATTTCTTCCATGGTCCTTGTACAAAAACTACAAAAATCAATGAAAAAAAAAACTAGAACGGTATTTTAAAAAAAAAAAAAAAACCAAAAAACAATAAACCAAAATTGTCCTGTGGCTTTTCTTTTTAAAATCAAATGAAAGACAAGTAAGAGATGCACTCTGAGCACATAGGTGGTATGGGAAATGCCAGACCTAGGCGTTTATTTTATAAAATAGTTGGACAACTGTCAAAGCATTTATCCAGGTTGTGTGAATTTTCCTTTTATTCTCTCTAAAGTGATTGTTTCCTATGAGCGCCAGCTCGTCAACTCCAGTAGCCAAAAAAGCAGCATATTTTCTGATGAATGCCTATGACATTTGCCCAAAAAATTTATAAAATAGACCCTCTAAAGGGTATTTCCACTTTTGTAGTCAAATTGGGATGATACAAACTTTATATATTTGTTACATGTCCCCATTCACATAGCAAACCTTGAAAGAAAAAAAATGCAGCATATCTTTTTAGATGCTCTTTTCTAGAATGTCCATCAAAGAAAATTCTACCTGGTTCTCTTTGTTAATGAAGGGGGGGGGGGGGGTGGGTGCAGGGGAGCTGTGTTTACCAGAATTAACCCTGTTGCAAAGCATCTGAACACTGTCGTAACAAAAGCTTAAAAGCGGATCTTCAGCCTTTTTATGTACTTCACCTCCCCTCCTTTACGTGATTAGCGATATCCCTTTTTTTGTATAAATAGGTGCAGCCCCCCCCCATGCACATCATTCATCGCGCTCCCTATGTCTTCTGCGATAGACAGCATGTCACATAGTCATTGACAAAAGTGGAGGATAGCATACCCAATGCTGCGTCATCAGGAGACATGCTGAACCCAGAAAAGCCAAAGGGACTGTCAATGATGTCATAAAAAACATGGCGGCATGGGATCGAGTGGCGATATAGGCTGGGAGGATCTCAGCGGGACAACACTGGATTATCTGGGTGGGTGAGTATCTCAAATATACTTAACACACTACCCAGTAAGCAGGAAAAGCAAAAAAAAAAAAAAAAAAAAAAAAAAAAAAGAAGGGGGGTGGGTGGTCCAGTGAAGATCCTCTTTAACCACTTACCCTCCAGAGGATTTACCCCCCCCCCTTTCTGACCAGAATATTTTTTTGCGATACGGCGCTGCGTTATTTTACCTGACAATTGCACAGTCATGCAACACTGTACATAAATTTAAATTTATGTCCTTTTTTTCCCCACAAATAAAGCTTTCTCTTGGTGGTATTTGATCACCTTTGCAGTTTTTATTTTTTGTGCTGTAACTTAAAAAATACAGAAAATTTTGAAAAAAAAAAAACATTTAACTTTTTGCTATAAAACATACCCAATAAAAAAAAATTAAATTTCGGCATTAATTTAGGCCAAAAGGTATTCTTTTACGTCTTTGCAAAAAAAAATCCCAATACGTGTAAATCAATTGGTTTATGTGAAAGTTATAGCGTCTACAAATGGCGATATATATATATATGTGAATTTTTATTTTTTTTTAATACTAGTAATGGCGGCGATCAGTGACTTATAACGAGACTGCAGCGGCCATTCTGACACTGGGGGGGAGACACTGACTAATTGCCACTGACATCCCAATGACACCAATACAGTGATCAGTGCTAATAAAAAGCACTGACACTGTACTGACACTAGGCAGGAAGGGGTTAACATCTGGGGTGATCAAAGGGTTAACTGTGTGCTGTTTTTACTGTATGTATTTTACTAGGGAAAAGATGCAGTGCAGAGAAATACACAGCAGCATGTTATTGCTGGCAGGAGAGAGACCTGTGTTGTTTACACACAGGTCTCTCCCCTGTCAGTGTTATTCGGCGATCACCAGTTGCCGGCGGGGACTCTCTGTCCGGGACCCGGTGATCGACATCTGTAGCCACCAATGGTGGCGTGGGTAGGGCAGAGCATGCGCCCCTTACCTGGAAATGCAAAATCACGTATATATACACGTGATTTTGCGCAGCCCTGTAGCAGCGTTTCTGTTATAGGGCGGCGGGGAAGCGGTTTAGGTTTAGGAGCCGGGATTCTCCAGGTTAATGAGAACTGGACTTGGCCAGCCCCACCCCAGTTACTTCGACAGATCATGAAGGCCTAGCCGAGAAATGCTTGCAGTCAGCTATGACACCTTCTCCCCACAAACTTCTAAAAGGCAAGAATATTTTAAAAATGTTTTTATGCTGTATAAAAAGGAACACATAACAAACATACAGCAGGGTTTTGTCAAATTTGGCTACAAAAGTGGAAATACATTTTAAAATGATGTACCGCAAAGACTGAGGCTTTGATATAAATGTGCTGCATCTCAATGTGATAAACCTTTCAATAATTCCATAAGCCATGCTTACAAACAGACAAACAGAAAGAGGCATTTGCCTATATACAGTTTATGACCCTGCCTTCTGGTTTAAGTGGACCTATACCCAAATATAAATATTAACTTGAAGCTACTATATGTTAACAGTCTGTCTGGGATGGATAAATAACGTGTACCAGAAGTGTTGAAACACATATCATTTTGCTAAAAAAACAAAAAAAAAAAAAAAACAAAAAACACTGCTTTAGGCACTTCATGGGACAAAAGCATTAATTTTGAATTGGAAGATGGGAGGATAGGAGTTTTAACTGGCTGATCGTTTCAGCGGAGATCACCTGACCAGATGCTTTCATTTATCCATGCCCCATGACACAATAAGACTTTTAATATTTGAGTATATTTCCACTGTAAGAAGTGTTACTGGTAAAGTCCCAATGTGATAAAATGTACTTGCAACAAAGTGGCATGGCACATTTTTTAAACTGCTGAATCAAGAAAGGAATGAAAAACTTCTATCTGTAACAAGTTCAAAGTGTCAGTTCACCCAAAGTGACATTTCAGCTATTTGTGGACACAGGTAGGCAGAAGAGCCCAATGGCACCTAATACTTCTCAGGATCATCTTAGAGCAGCTTTTTTCTTCACAGTTGTGGAGTCTCACAACTTCAGCTAATACTGAAGAAACCTTCAGATTCTTGTTGTGTTTTCCAGCAATAAAATGATTACATGAAAGAGAGAGACCCTTTCAAAATGGCAGCAGGTCCTACAAATGCCAGTATCTGAAGCCAAAATTTTTTTTTTTTTTTTTTTTTTTTTTAAGTTTTGCATTGAATGGTAGGGGTTAGAGCTTCTTTTGGGTTTCATTGCTGTCTTGGTCCTCACATTTTAGATTCATTCTCTTTATTTGCCCTTAGGCTGTCACAGAGACTAAAAGTGAGGAAAAATCCAGAATTTCGAGTTATCACCAGAACAGTAATAGATGGAAAATCTACAGTGGGACATTTTTTCTGGTGACAACTGTTTAAGAGGACAGAAAGGCATGGGGAAATGTCCTCAGTGGGACACAGATGGCAAAAAAATACAGCAGGTTTAAAGTGGTTCTAAAAACTGATATATATACTAATATATATATATATATACTAATATATATATATATATATACTAATATATATATATATATATATATATATATATATATATATATATATATATATATATATATTTTTTATATTAAAGGCAGGACATTTTCACCTTAATGCACTCCTTGCATTAAGGTAAAATGTCTCATTGGTTATCCCATCCCCTCACCTCCCTAATCTTACATAAGCCCTATCTCTAGCCAGTATTGTGGCAGAATGCACCAGCGCTGCTCTCTCTTCCTCTCCATGAGAGCCGTAGGAGCTAATGGCTCCTGCTACTGTCAATCAAATCCTGTGGGGAGGGTGCGGGGCGCAAGGCTGAGCCACACAGTGTGTATGTGTGTCAATAGATGCATACAGCCCAGCTTGGGAGTGAGTCCCTGGTGTGCCACCATAGCAAGCGGTTTCCTATGGTGGTGTGCAAAAACAGGAGGAACCTGAAAAGAGGTTCAGATCCGCTCTGTGCAATACCACTGCACAGAGCAGATAAGTATGTTAATTGTTTTAATAAACAAAATATACAAAAAGCTTCAAAATTACTTTAACCATTCCCTACTTTATGCAAAATGAAAAAAAAAAAAAAAGGTTTTGACGTCAGATATTCTTAACTCCATGACCTACAGCCAAAACTGAAATATCAACTTGGGGTGAAAGGATTAAAGTTGCCCAAAAAGCTAGGTTGGTCACACACTGGCTTCTGGTGCCCTGTCCTGATCCGCTATAGAGATTACTTCCTCAGGGAACATAGCATGAGGACACTCCTGAGAATGGTTGGTGTTGATGCTCTGTGTCTCAAACTGAGGATGAACAGACACATTAACTGCTATCTCTCCTGGCCTTGGACCGAGCTGTCTTCCGAATCACCAGCTGGAGATCCGCTCCGAGCCATATCAGGACTGATCGTGTAAATCCCTAAACCGTGCTCCTTTTCCACCTGGTCTGGATCATCCAACCTCACGGCTTCAAACATCTCTTCCATAAAAAGCTCTGCAGTTAAATATAAGAGGGGGCAGAGGAATACTTCTGGCCAGTTCTTCTATGTAACGAGCAAACTCCATGGTTTTGAACTGAGTCACCTTGGCCAGCTCCAGAGTCTTAGCAGAGGTGATAATTGGAATACGCTTGGCAATTTCAAAGGCCTTCTGGAGCTTCTCAGCCCCCTTCTGTGCGGAAGAACTCATTAATAGCCTTCTCTGTCTTCCGGAGATGACTGCTCATCATGCAGAGTCGAGTGATGTTCAGAATCAGAGTGATGGTAAAGGTCACCAAGCAGACTATCATGTAGTATATCCCCATATCCCCAGAGGTGAAAGTCACCCGAAGAGTAACTGTGTAGAAGGAGGTGCCATTACCAACTGGACACATGCAAGTATAACGCCCTCGATCTGCAAACGTTACACTCGTAATGTTAAGGGCTCCAGTGGAAGAGATCAGCCATTTCCCTCCTGTAACAAATGAAACAGAAGAGACAATTAAAGTATAAGTAAATCCAATCACTAAATTGTTTAAGATTTAACATGCTTATGCAATTTTAATAATAATTTTCAATCTCTATAAATCTGCAGCTTTCCCTAAAATAACACTTGGTAATTCTGCCATGAGGTTGCCTTTTCAAGTATTTCCAGTTATTTTAGTGAGAATACTCTATAGCCCTGTCACATGGGCTTTCAATGAAGACTACAAATGGCTGTTTTAATGCACATTACACTGGCATGGTCCACCATTGTCACCACCTGGAAATCTACGGGAGTTGTTCAAGTCAATTCCGAGACTTTTTTTTCATAGGTATAAAAAAGGGATGAGATTGTAGCGGTACTACACGCAGTAATAAGTGGCAAGTAAGTCCTATTACTGACAGGTGGCACACATGTCATGGGTCAGTCCAGAGACAAGTAATCAAGATGGCAGACAACAGTGTTCGTGCGTGTATGGAACAGTGTGTGTTGATGGAGATTCTTGTGAATGAAGGTGTAAAACCCGCGGATATCTACAGACAATTTATAAGCACAGTACGTTGATGAGAAGCTCAGCCGCAGTAAGCCAATTGAATGGTGTAAATGTTTCAAAGAAAGCCGCACGTCTATCGGTGACAATCCCGGCCATGCTGTTTCCCAGCCCACAGCAGTCATTCCTGTGACCATTCAGTGTTTGGAACGCCTGATACTGGATAATCGGCCTATAACCTGTTGTGAAATTGCACAAGAGACAAATATTTCAGTGGGAACGGTGAACACGATAATGAAGTGAAGCAGTCTGTCTAAGGATGGTTCAGGCGTACTGACAAATGTTTCTATGCCGACGCTTCCCAGGCATTAGTTAAATGCTGAGATAAGTGTATAAATGTAGCAGGGGAGTATGTTGAAAAATAAAGCAGTTTCCACTCCTTGAAATATGTTCTCTTATTATATAAAAACCGCAAAAGTCCCGGTTTGACTTGAATGCGCCTTGTATTTTCAGAAATGCCATGCAGCTATTGTTGCAGTGCATGTAGATAGAAAAACGGTTGCAATGAGGCTTTAGATCAGCAGCAGAGAGATACAACAAAGTATTGAAAAAAAGATCAAAACAAGTATTGTTTGCAGGGCGTGAGGGACGCAGATGCTCCCAGCAATATACTGAGACCAAACTGCTTAGCCCAAGCAAAGTAATTTGGTATATGCAGTGCAGTGAGGAATGTAAAGGTCTGTACATTGGGGAGACAAAACAATCTCTTAAACAAATTGCCCAATAAAAGAAGGCAAATTCTGCAGGTTAAGAATCAGCTTTCCTACACCAGATTATTGAGGACAGTGAGGTGCACCTTTTGGAGAGAGCAGACAACTGGTTCACAAAAGCTAGAAATGTCAAACTGTACCAGCCATCCCTGAAAAAGGGTGAAGGCCTTCTACACCATCTGTCTACCATTTATACTGCCATTTTAACATCTCTAACCTGGCAATTTGACATTTCACACTTTCAGTCATGTGAGCTGAAGGATTAAAACATATGCAGACCCCCTGACACCCAGGATGGGACTAAGCAATTAGAGCAGGTAGTTCCACAACTTTTACATCTCCCATCCTGTTCTTGGACAATCAACATCCACACAGCCCATGGCGACTGGATTAAATGTCTGTACTACCTGTGTGGATATAAATGCTGGGGTATTTTCATGACACTCAGAGATGAAGAAGTGGATTGGAGAAACTATGAAATGCCTTCAGCATTACAGAATAACTCCAACTGAATGTGACCAACTACCAACTGAACCTGCTAATACCATTGACATTTTCCCACTTCATTTTCTATGGAAGCAGAATCTTAGCAGCCTACCAGACTTCTAATATGAAATAAATAGCAGGTGCTTGTGTGAACAATTAGAAACTGATTTTAGAGTCTTTGAAGTAATCCATCTTCAAATATCACAACAAAGTACAAGCAGTAATAGAGGGATGGCTTGATTTAAAGTCATTGCTCTGCGCAGCTATGTGGCCACACTGAACAATCAGAATCCCTTCTTTCTTCCAGGACACCGTTTAGGAAGAAGGCGGCTCAGATGAGAGATTCTCATTGGTCAATGGGATCATATTGCCACATTGACCAATGACCGCCTGCTACTGCAAGCATTATGATGCCTACAGGCTCCAGGGCTGCTAGTATATAGTATATGGATCTTCTTCATTAAAGGTAAACTTGCCATTTAAAGCTCCTTCACTGCTTGTTAAGAGCATGTAAAATACTTAAATGTCTATAGCCTGGGCACAGATATACTTTAACGATGCATTCTCTGAAACAATAGTTACAATGAAAAAGAAAATCCAAAATTCAAAACACATCAAGTATTTTACAGAAAAAAAAAATTTTTGTGCGCGTATATGTTTATGTACACTGCTCAAATAAACTCGAGGAACACTTTGAAAACACATCAGATCTTGATGAGGAAAAATATCATACTGGATATCTATACTGATCTGGACTGGGTAATGTGTTAGGAATGTAAGGATGCCCCATTGTTTGATGGAATTGAAAATTATCAACCTACAGAGGACTGAATTCAAAGACACCCCAAAAATCAAAGTAAAAAAAAAATGATGCAGCAGGCTAGTCCATTTTGCAGAAATGTAATTACAGCAACTCAGAATGGTCCTCGGTAGTTTGTATGGCCCCCACGTGCTTGTATGCATGCCTGACGTTAGGGCATGCTGCTAATGAGAGACGACGTATGGTGTCCTGGGGCATTTCCTCTCAGATCTGGACCAGGGCATCACTGAGCTCCTGGACAGTCTGAGGTGCAATCTAGCAGCATTGGATGGACCGAAACATGATATCCCAGAGGTGTTCTATTGGATTTAGGTCAGGCGAGCGTGGGGGCCATTCAATGGCATCAATTTCTTCATCCTCCAGGAACTGTCTGCATACTCTCCCCACATGAGGTCGGGCATAGTCGTGCACCAGGAGGAACCCAGGACCCACTGCACCAGTGTAGGGTCTGACAATGGGTCCAAGGATTTCATCCTGATACCAAAACAGTCATGTTGAACGATATTACAAGCAGCACAACATTCTCTATGGCTTCTCCAGACCCTTTCAAGTCTGTCACGTGCTCAGGGTGAACCTGAGCTCATCTGTGAAAAGCACAGGGCACCAGTAGTGGACCTGCCAATTCTCATGTTTCATGGCAAATGCAAAACGAGCTCTATGGTGCTGGGCAGTGAGCACAGGGCCCACTATAGGACGGCGGGCAATCAGGTCACAATCATGAAGTGTGTTTCTGATTGTTCGGTCAGAGAAAATTCACACCAGTGGTCTGCTGGAGGTTATTTTTTAGGCAATTCCCATCCTGTTCCTCCTTGCACAAAGGAGCAGTTACCGGTCCAGCTGATGGGTTAAGGACCTGCTACGGCCCTGTTCAGCTCTCCTACAGTAACTGCCTGTCTCTTGGAATCTCCTCCATGCTTTTGAGACTATGCTGGGAGACACAGCAAACCTTCTGGCAATAACACGTATTGATGTGCTATCCTGGAGGACTGCCTGTGCAACCTCTGTAGGGTCCAGGTATCACCTCATGCTTCCAGTAGTGACACTTACCCTAGCCAAATGCAAAACTAGTGAAAAACAGTCAGAAAAGGGAAGTAGGGAAAAAAATGTCAGTGGCCTCCACCTCTAAAACCGTTCCTGTTTTGAAGGTCATCTCACTGTTGCCCATCTAGTGCACTTGTTGTTAATTTTAACACCAAAGCAGCTGAAACTGATTAACAACTCGCTCTGCTACTTAACTGACCAGATCAATATCCCAGGAGTTTTAAATGACTTGATGCTACACTCCGATTAAAAAATGTTCCTTAAAATTTTGAACAGTGCGCGCGCGCACACACACACACACCCAAAAGTATTGGAAACACCCCTCCAAATCATTGGATTCCAGTCACCTCCATGGCTACAAGTGTATAATATCAGGCACCTAGGCATGCAGACTGCTTCTACAAACATTTGTAAAAGAGTGGGTCGCTCTCAGGAGCTCAGTGAATTCAAGCATGGTACTGTGATAGGTTGCCACCTGTGCAATAAGTCCATCCATGAAATTTCCTTGCTACTAAATATTCCACAGTCAACTATTTGTGGTATTATAACAAAGTGGAAGCAACTGAAGGGAACTCTTAAGGCATCAGCATACCAAGACATTTTGGACAACTTCATGATCCTGGGAACAGTTTGGGGATGAACCCTTCCTGTTCCAACATGGCTGCACACCAGGGCAAAAAGCAAGACCCATAAAGACATGGATGAGTGAATTTGGGGTGGAGGAACTTGACTGGCCTGCAGAAAACCCAATAGAACACCTTTGGGATGAAGTAGAGTGGAGAATGCAAGCCAGGCCTTCTCGTTCAACATCAGTGCCTGACCTCACAAATGTGCTTCTGGAAGAAAATTCAAACATTCCCATAGACACACTCCTAAACCTTGTGGACGGCCTTCCCAGAAGAGAGGAAGCTGTTATATAGCTGCAAAGGGTGGGCCAACTCAATACTGAACCCTACGAAGACTAAGAATGGGATGCCATTAAAGGCAGGCCTCCTAAAACTTTTTATACACACACCAACTTTGCAAAATAATTTATCCGAGCCCAAGCTCTTCTCTTCAATTTCCCCACTGCAAATCATCTTATCTGATCATGAAAGGCAGAGATTAATTTTACATGAACTGATGTATATATAAATCAAGTTCTATACTTATATGCCAGAAATAAGCCTTGTTTTTAATTTGTGTTATCCTGATAAAGTAAATTGGCAGCTGAGTGCTATGGATTAAACCACTACCTAACCCTCTATCAAGCTTCCTAAGGGTAATGATGGTAATCTCAGGAAATACATTTGCTCAGCCCAATAACGATTCTTCAGTACACGCATCACTAACTAGGAAGCCAGTCCGATAAAAAGCACTGTGGTAAAATTAAAATACTAGGACT